TAAAGAAATGGGCGTGTCAAAAGATGACAATAAACACTCTAAATATAGCTCAAAACGTTCCATTCGAACGGAAAATTTTACCACTTCAATGCGCTTCATTGTATGCTCTCTTCTTCGATTTGTATTGTTTAAAGTTTTTATGAGATTGATCACTAACTTATTTGATTTAATAAATTCTCACCTGAAGATTCTGGCAAATGAAGTTTGACAAATTCCACAGCATTACGGATGCTGATCTGATCCGTGACGTCAAGTTGTAGAACACGTAGTCTTGATGACGTATGTTTCTTCAGTTCTGTCCCACCCTTCTCGGTTAGACATGCTGCAAACACTGGAACCCCCTGCTTATCCAGTAAACGGGCTAAAGCATTTCCAAAGCCAGAATCACATCCCGTTATGAGGACGTAGCGATTATTAATGCTATCAATACACGTTTTTCCTTTGTGAAACTCATAAATTTTGTATGAAATATACAAAAAGATTATAAATAGAAATAATAGGCAGCACATGTTCGTATTTGTATCAGTTAAGATAGAAAACTCAGATAATGGTCAGGTTGATAACTAGGCCATATCTTCGGAAGGTATTGCGCTTCTGACCCAACCACGACAAACAGGTGTCATTTGTTCCTTAAATAGAGGCGACAATAGTATGTTGCAGGTATTTCTGATGAGTTGGCCCCGTGTCACTCATAAGAGTAAAATCATTTTGCAAGTGATAATATACAATCAATGTTTAGCTGTTAACTTGCCGTATGCAAGTGATAATATACAATCAATGTTCAGTTGTTAACCTGCCGTATTATAAAAAAGAAACTACAGGTGAACTTCGCCTAAAGTTTGATAAACATTGCAGTTCTAACAGGAAATAAAATGTGCAGTGTAACTGTCGACTTAAAATGAAACGGACAATAACCATTCCGAATATACTGTAACATTCCTATTGTATTGTACATGTGTATTTGCTTGCTTTAAATTCAATATTATTTTTTAAACACGATTTATTTACCTTTCACGAAAAAGAATCAGAAAGTTACAAAGTTACTACATACCAGGCACAATTATAACTATGCAAAGTATTTGCAGAAAAGTTTTCTCTAGGCGAGAATAAAGTACCATTGAAGTGGTGTTATGGGAAAGTAAGAACGACAATAGCTAGTTAAGGAGGACTGCGGACAGCACCAAGGACATGGCAGAAGGAAGACAGTAGAGTGTCAAATGACGATTAAGAAGTTCAAGAAAAGAAACAAATAGGGAGAAAATTAAGAAGGCAAAATGAATAGCACTGAATGGGGAGAAGCATGAAGATATAGACACACTTCTTGAAACGATATACTTCAGAACCAGCAATTAAAGAAGAAATTTTAAAAAAAAATTTAAAGAAGTGATATACATGATAGAAGAGACCGATTCGGAGTGGACAACACAGAAACATCATGGGAGAGAAAATTGAACCTTCCTCGGTTTGTTTCTGGTGTGGTTGAGATGAGGATATCTACTGGAAACCAGTGGAATGTTTATTAAACAGAAAAAAAAGGTTTAAAGGAAGTAAATTCGGAATAGAAGAAGGATCTCCATATATTTCATGAAACGCTCAGGGAGAATAACAGATTAGAGATTGTACTTCCATGTAACTTTTTATTTTATATAGCGTAACTGACTTCAGAACTTTAATCAACATTAATCAACATATAACTTCCGGATAGGAATTCAGACCAAATGTACTCGTATGTGAAATGTAGAGATACATCATTAAACATTATGGCTCATTACACTTTTAAACATTGATTCGTTTTATCAAATCCGTTCGTGTTCAAGATGGTCAGTTTAAAGTATACCCTTGCTTAAGAAAAAGAGATACACAGAAAAAGGCAAGTTGATGATCGAAGCTTGCTCAACTTTGAATTTTTAGAAATTCATTAGAAATTTATTTAAACACATCAGAAAAAGCTTTAACCAAAATAAATTTCTTTAGGTTAATGTCTATGTACATTCTCAATAATTAAAAGAAAAGGAGCCGAGACCCCGGATGGATTTTACATGTAATTCGTACCTTGGCTGGAAAAGTCTCATGCCAGTTTACTAGTACTTGTTATGTGTGATGAAAGATAATTGTTAGTGGATTTCCAGGTCTTTACTCTCTGAAGTGTTTCTTGATTGTATAAAATAATACCCCATGACTTATATCTTACACAGTTCTACTTATCAATGACTATTGGTTTATACCTGTACTTTAACAAGAAACAGTCATCAAAAGAATTCTCTGACGTAATGTTCAAATTGGGTCTCGATGTATGAACTTCTAAAAATTGTTGAAACAACAATAAGCAAAAACGTTTCGACAAAATTGACTCATCGCAGGAATAACCATGAATGTTGCTTTTCATAGATATTTTATTATTTTTATAAATTCTTTGTAACTTATGTACATCATACTTTAATACTTAATTAAATGTATCCATATGACACACATTTTAAAATAGGAACTTCAATTATGTGTAACTGCTTCCGGCTGTGGATTCATTGCCCAGTACCAGGTGTTAAACCATTCAGGAAGCAAAGAAATGGGATAGAAGTAATATTCACAGATTTTTCCACATCGGTATCGTCTCTTCGGCATCACAGAAAACAGGGCGTGACAGATGGCATTTGTCACCGGGGACAAATCCTCGTATTGAATCTTTGGTATTCCTTCAAAAGATTCCTTTACTGTAAAAAAAAATATAAGTATTTCATTTGTCGTCTTTAACTCCCAACTCAGGTAAAGGTAAATTCATTATTTTGGTCTTACTTTTCTGAAACCATTGCTGTCCATAAAATTGCTGGACTTCTTCGTCCACTTCGTCAAACGCCTTCTGTAGAGCAGATTTCATCTCGTTAGGGTCTACGATCCGGGTTTTAAATGGTCCTGGCTGGATTGTGTGTGACGTCACACCAACTAGATACAATTCTCTTCTACAGTGTAAAGTGGTGATTTATAGGAAAACGTTTCTTATTTGTAATAACAAACAAGGGTAGTATTTTCATATCTTTCAATACGCCTATAAAACTTGTTTTCTTTAAGGATGCTATATGTATCATTTGTTTGTAAATTTTTAATAAAATTCTCACACTTCTGTTCAGAAGCAAACACACAAGCAGCATTTACAGATCAACATCATCATAAACTGTTAAATCCACTTTATAGTTAAAAATACAGTATATAATATATACTTGTTCTAAGAAATATGATCGTCATTTTCATTTTACAAGTACAACTGCATAAGTCATTGTAATTTATAAGTAATTTTGATTTAACATTTAACTGCTTAAGTCATTAAATGTAAAATCGAAATTATGCAGACATTGTATAAGTAAGAATCTGAAAGTCAATACTGCGATGCTGCCAGCATCATATGTTTCTTCTTTGTTTTTTTTTTTTTAAAGATTTGTTGGAATGGAATCTAGATCTTTGATTTTACTTTCTTTATTTTGATTTAAAATTGAATAAAAGGCATGCCATAATGTTTTTTAAAAAGCATAGTAAATGGAACTTTGCCCCTCTCACCTTAGGCATTCTGCAAGAGCTTCGATTCCAAATTTACTGATTACGTAAGGTGCCCGACACGGCCACTCTATGAAGGCACTGTCACTCGATAGGTATATCATTCTACCTTTGGCTTTCCTAAGAAAAGGCAAAAATGACCTTGTAACGTCAATCGAACCAAGTAGGTTGACCTTCAAACATTTTTCTATCGCCTCGTGAGATTGAAACTCCAAAGGAGCATGTAAAACCTGTAAACCTGCATTGTTGACGAGTCCCCACAAACCTAGAAATATTGAAGTGAGACAGGAATTGAACAAATATAAGAATGAAAGAATAATCGAAGAACATGTATGTAAATTGTTATAGATTTAAAAATGGGGTGAGTTATTTAAAAAATTACATGTATAACCTTTAGAAAACATTATAGCACTTATATATCTTTTAAAAGACTCGAAAAAATCTGAGGTTAACTTTTTGTGGTAAAATAAATCGAAAATAACAATGATGTACATGTACTAAGGTGGAATACTTTGTGGAGAATTTTCGCATTATCGGAAATAGAACTTATCTTAAGCTTAACATCGTACGAAAATGAAGGGATTATTTACCTGAAGATTTTGGCAAATGACGTTTGACAAATTCCACAGCATTACGGATGCTCTTCTGATCCGTGACGTCAAGTTGTAGAACACGGAGTCGTGATGACGTATGTTTCTTCAGTTCTGTTCCACCCTTCTCGGTTAAACATGCTGCAAACACTGGAACACCCTGTTTATCCAGTAAACGGGCTAACGCATTTCCGAAACCAGAATCACACCCCGTTATGAGGACGTAGCGATTATTTTTGTTCTCAATTGAAGTTTTCCCTTTGTGGAATTCATAAACTTTATATACAACATAAAGAACGACGAAAAGTGCCAATATCAGGCAACACATGTTGACATTAAATGAACGTCATTGATAAGCATTTCTTCACATGAAACCAGATAACAGAGCCATATCGAGCGTCTCGCTTCAATCGAGTCAAGGGATATAGGGACTTCAATCGGTCCTTTGAATATTTTATTATTCTCTCCCTCCCCATATAAGTACAATTAATTCTTTCGTATGGGTCCGGGGTATATATTACCAGTGGAATGATTTAGAAATAAATATTCTTACCGACAACTTTTATAAAAGACTGTGTTTAAATATAATACATCTATTTAAACATCCACAAGTATTAAAAAAGTACATCCATGTACATTTCATTTCATTAGTAAATTATTTCAATCCTGAATAAAGGTAAGTATTCACCCCTTTTACCTTTTTGCTCAAGCAATATTATTCTGAAGGATATCAATCTTTTGTTTAAAAAGTTAAAAAACTAAGCATTTGTAAAAATTGTTGGGACTTCTGATCAAAGACATTTTTAATATTCATTCATCAAAAGAGTATTCAAAGATCATGTACTGCCTAGAAAAGCTAAAGCACAAAAGATAGAAAATATCGAGGTTTTAATAAATTTAATGGTTATGTATTGATAAACAGTCTTCTACTCTCTGTGGTCGACTAATGGATGGTCAGTAAGGTGGACGGCGTTGTCAAGGTAACTAGATAAATGTTCTCATCTATGCTCTTTCAACACATGATCGTGGGGATTGGAGGACGCGATGGACATTAATGCACCAAGATTGGTCAAGGTTTCTCCAGGACACCCGTCTTCGACTAATGATTTTGAAGAGTTCGGTTCGTGTGTTTGAGTTCTTGATTTGAGGACTACCAGGCTATTTTTATCTTTCTTTAAATATTGTAAAGATATTTCATTTAGTTCGTCTGATTCATTTCCTTTTACCACCTGACCTCCTCTACATATAGGTTTTCCTGCAACAAGAAAAATGTGAACATAAATTTAACTGACTCATCAAAACCAATGCACCAAGTCAATACTTATATTTTTCAGAGAAACACAAAAATTACTTACTCTTTCTATTGACATTTTCAGTATAGCAAACTTCTTCCGATTCGGCGCTAAAATTATTTGAATACAAAAAACAAACAAAACAAATTTTGTCTTTCTTTAATCTTCTCAAATGTAAATTTCATATACGATCAAACATTGATTTGTTATCAGAATGATTTCTGAAGGATATATAAACATGCATAAAAAAGGTTAGGTTCAAACTGTCAATAGAATGAGTGTTCATTTCATGCAGTAACATTTTTAAAAAATATATATTTTCTATAGCTAGCATGTTATATGATTATATCAGTTAGAGTGGTGTCACGTGGACCCAGTGTGCTGTGCGGGTCCTGGGGCTCTGGTTTCAGGACACCATTCTTGCCAAACAGAACATCTAGAGACCCACTACTCTCTGTGGGTTTTACTCCTCCTCTGCTGGGCATTCTCGAGTTCATACCGGTTTTGTCCTTCCCAAAATTGGACACCTCCTCATTCGGAGCCCTTTTGGCCTCGTCCGAAGGAAGAATTGTTTTTTCTCGTTTCCCTAGTCCTTCTGGTGGTTGATCTGGAAAAGTAACCCTCTTCTCAGGCTTAACACTTTCGGAATTAACTTTTTCACCCATTTCTTTATCAGGCTTATTTTCCATATCCTCTTTACTTATCACTCCATTAGGTTGATTCGTCTTCAAAACATTCGCCTCGTTTTCGGTAAGGTCAAACACGGTGACTGTTCCATTCGATATACTCTTCTCTTCCTTGTGTTCTGTTTTATCTACTTTATCTGCTTTATCTTTCTCTACTTTATCTCCATTTGTTTCATCTTTTTCTGGCCTTTTTTGTTCCTTGATTTCCTTATCAGCATCTACATCTTGCAATTCACCGTCAATTGTCACCAGCATTTCCGGTGGTGGAACTTTTTGGATGTCATCCTTTGACTTGTTGTCTGTGTTACTGGATATATCACCACTAGATTTGTTACTGTTGTTGTTATTATTAAGACCATTATCACTGGACCTGTTGTTGTTATTGCTGAGATCCTTTTCTTTGGATTTGCTGCTGTTATGGTTCGTATTGACCAAAGGTTCCGGCATTTTCTTCAAACTGCCAACCGTTCCAACAGTAATCAAAGGATTTATTTTTCTCTCTAAAATGACAAATCATAAAATAATGTTCTTTGACTAAGTGCTCTTTAGTTCTGCATATTTCTGACGTAATTTCAATTATAAATATTGTTGATGTATATCATAAAATAAAATTTTCAAGAAAATATTTCATTCATTTTGATATTAAGATGCTATCAAAATTTACATAGCAATAAACAAACCTAATGTAAAACAGCATTTTATGACTATAGACCATCCAATTGGTGAACCCAGGCATTGAGCTGAATATTAATTTATTACTATAAAATCTGTCCTGCATTTGCTCTCCTATAGTTAACCTCTATTTGATGATTTCAGCAACTATATTTTAATTTTTTTTCTTGCTTCTTTCAGGTGAGATCATTAAAATTTTAAATATATTATCATGATTATAAGAATAATTGAGGAACAAAACAACTTTAGAGGAAAAAGACACTAATGATGTCTGAAAACTATAGGCAAAGTTAGGAACCAAATCACCATCTATAGATATGATTCTTACTGGTGAAAAGGTTTTCCTCTTGTTTCTTTTTGAAGTATCTATATCCCAGTACCGCCCCTATAATGATTGCTATGACTAATATCGTCACCATCACACCCGCTACAATGGCAGTTGTGTTGTCTGATTCTTCTGGCGAACTGGGTGTTTCGATGTCTATCGTTTAAAAAATCAAAGGTTACAGTACATGTATGCATAAATGATAATATGTAGTTAGTAAAATATGAATTTTTTTGATATATTTATACTCAGAAAGAAAGTTTTTACTTACAACAGGTCGCTGTAAATATAAATAAATGTATTTTTCATAAGAAACTTCAGCAAAGTGATAGTTTAGAATAAAATTGAATATCCCATATATGGTTCAGTCAAAGTAATACTCTCGAAAAACAACACAGACACCATTTAATTAACCATTAGTTAGAATAATTTGAAATATGCACTATCAAATATTAAATATGCACTGCTCTTTTTGGAGATGAAAACTAAACATCACATACTAGTATTACTTGACCGTTTTCTTTAAAGCCGCTTAATCCGAAACAGGCACATATTATCTTACAGAATAAAAGTACGTCATTACATAGATAATATATAAAATAAATTATAAGATTGATTTAATAGTTTATAACAACAATCCTTACATGGAAAACGCAGATCAAAAACCTTATTGACAAACAGTAGTTCCTGACGGGAAGTTAAGATCTGTTGTGAAGTCAATTTTTTAAAAAATAAATTTATCGGTTATATCTAAAAATGAAGATAATTCAAACCCGAGCATTTTTTTTTTGCATTAGAGAAGCTTTAGTCTGACATAATACATCTTTTAAAAATAAAAAAATTAATTGAATATAATACATAGTAATTTCTATATTAATATGCATATTTAAAGAATAAAGGGAAGTTAGATATTTTAAGATTTTTTTAAAAGGAGCTAAAATATTGTCCGTGTACAGTATATTTTAATTTCTTTTCGTTAGCATAAGCGAACTATTTAATGTGTAGAGTGTTCGATATGTTTTCTTGTAAGCGTATGAATTAGATATTCGCTTTATTATGTGAGTAAAATGTCTTGGGTATTTAAACAGCTGTTTGCGTATTCTATTCATTCGAGTTCATACTCAGCTAAGAAGTACAATTTCTGAAGAGAATCAACACGAACAAATTACAATAGAGAGGAGTATCGACGGCAAAACCGATAAAGAAAATGATAGCGCCATTTCTATAGAAGAGGCCTTATCCTTGTTTACAGGCAGGCTTAAATGTGCATTGAGCGACGAACGTGCTCACATGAGACAAGAATTAGAGGACCGAGTATCAGAAATTCGTAGGAGCTTTATTTTGAACAAAACGGAGGACAAAAATACTTTCAAATACACTGGCTGTAAGACTCAATTTGATTTTAATCAAAACAGAATTGCGGAGTTGGATTTGGTAGACGAATACCTGAAGTTTGGGAGAATCGAAGACGCTACAGAAATTATAAAGTCGTCCCGAGACAAATTGACGGAGAGGAACACGCACGTGCGCATTGCCGACAAATATGGTTGGGACACACTTGATGAGTATTTGGGTGATAATTTGGTGGACGGTCCTGACGAGGCAAACAAACTTAGGAAAGCAGAGTCCAGGGCAGTCAAGCGTAGAAAGGAGAGAGCAGACAAAAAGCCATACGATAGAAACGGCGGCCCAGTTATGCGGAATGACCTTCTTCGTTTCAACAATACAGAAAATAGCCGACAGTATTTCGGCCAGTACCCAGCAGGAAACTACATCCGCCCTTGGTCAGCACCGACACAAGCTACCACATCTAGATTCCCCTTCGCCAAACCTACAGTCTGTTTCTATTGCTTCGAGGAGGGACACGTGTCAACCCAGTGCCCGCTTAAGATACCAGGAAGAGTGTCAGTCCCAACAGCCACTATTACCAGTGACAACGCAGATAAGAAATCAAAGCAATGAAATGAATGAAATGGTGAGCATTTTTTCTGACATATGTAAATGTAAAGCTGAAGTTAAGGGCAATGTTCAAAATGTCAAAGGTAGATTAGGAGAACACGTGTATTTTTGGAAAAACGTTCTTAGAGCTAGCGATACAGTGTGTAATATTGTTTCTTCTGGATACATTGTACCTTTTTATCAGTATCCTGAAGCTAAATTTTGCAGCAACAACAATTCAGCAAAGCAGCATTCTGGTTTTGTAAGTAACAGCATTGATGAATTATTGAACAAGGGCATTGTTATAAAGGTTAATGAAGTTCCGCATGTGGTGAATCCTCTGACGGTCTCGGTAAACGCAAAAGGTAAAGAACGTCTCGTTTTGGATTTAAGGCATGTAAATCAATATGTTATAAATTACAAATTCAAACTTGAAGGTGTTAAAGAGGCCCTAGACTTTGTGCAAAAAGACGGTTTTATGTTTAAATTTGACCTGTCATCAGGTTACCATCACATCGATTTACACCCTTCAATGTACAACTATTTTGGTTTTTCTTGGAAAGGCTATTTTTATGCATTTACTTCTTTACCTTTTGGCTTGTCCTCAGCGCTTTTTATTTTTACTAAGGTTCTGAGGAATTTAGTTAGATTTTGGAGAGAGCAAGGTATTTTCATCATTGTTTATTTAGATGATGGATTTGGTTTTGCAGATAGTTATGCAAATTGTCAATATTCAGCTGAGAAGGTACATGATACATTGATTAAAGCTGGTTTTGTTATTAATACGGAGAAGTCCGAGTGGATTCCACAGAAATCCTTGGTGTGGCTTGGATTTATGTGGAACATGCAAGAAGGTTCATTAGAATTGCAAAAATTCAAAGTAGATGATCTTATTGTTTTAATAGATCAGATTGTTGATAATAATTTTTTCACATCTGCAAGAGATTTAGCAAAAATTACGGGAAAAATTGTGTCATTTTCTGAAAGCCTGGGTTCTATGTGTAGGTTCATGACAAGACAAATGCATATAAATATTTGTTTCAGAAAATCTTGGGATGCAGTTTTCAAATTAAGCAAAGAGACAATTGTAGAATTGAATTTTTGGAAAATAAATTGTAAACATTTACCTTTCAAGAAAATTTTCAATAATTATGTTTTGCCAGAAAAACTGCTTTATACAGATGCAAGTGACCATGCAGGAGCAGGATACTGCGTGGAAATTCTGGGGAAAATTGTACACAAAAGATGGTCAGAAGAGGAAACACAAAAGAGTTCCACCTGCAGGGAATTAAAAGCAATTGAATTGACATTAGAAGCTTTCAAGGTAGAACTTGTAGGTAAAAATGTTAAATTGCATACAGACAATCAAAATGCTGCAAGAATTATCGAGGTTGGAAGCATGAAATCTGAATTACATGTTCTTGCTTTTTCTATATTTAAGATTTGTATGTTGTTCAGAATATCATTAGAAGTTTGTTGGATACCAAGAAATAAAAATGTGATTGCAGATTTTTTCAGCAAAATGTACGATGCAGACGACTGGGGTGTCGATATTAACATTTTTCAATTGTTTAACAAAAAGTGGGGTCCTTTTACATGTGATTTGTTTGCAAATTCCCTCAATTTCAAGGTAAAAAAGTTTTATTCAAAATTTGCGGACAGTATGTCTGTTGGAGTTGACGCTTTTTCATATGATTGGAAATTTGATAATAACTGGATTGTTCCACCAGTTAGATTAGTTTCCAAAGTAATAGCTCATTTGATAGCATGTAATGCTAGAGGGGTTTTAGTTGTACCTAAATGGACTTCATCTCCTTTTTGGTCATGTTTAGTAAATACTGATGGAACATATAAATTCTTTGTTAAAGAGTATGTAGAATATGTAAATCCTTCAAGGTTTTTTGTCAGAGGTTCACAGCGGAATAGTGTTTTTCATGAAAGAAAAGTTGCTTTCAACGTGATTGTAATGAGAGTAGATGCTAGTGGGAGATAAAGTAGAAACAATTTCAGTGTGAATTAATTTAAAAGTGACTGTTATAATTAAAATTCTGTATGATTATGTTAAAGACATTTGGCATCGAGGTAACTTTGTATATATGTTATATTGAACATGTTTGACACATCTATGTGTGTTTATTTATGTGTGCTATGTTTTACACTGCTATCTGTGTTATAAATACTACGTTCGACACGACTACGTGTGTCATATATAGACTACGTTAGACACATCTACGTGTGTTGATTATATTCTGAGTTTATTTACTGTGTACAATGTATTTAGCCGTCATTGAGCATTTAAAAGGTCTTAAAAATTTTCTGAGAATTTTTCATTACGAAACTCATCATTTTTGTATTGTTTTTTCAGGAGTTATCTTCATCCACTTCTCAATGGACCAATTTAGAGAAGATTAAGGTCAACTTACCTGTGTTAGCTCCTTTAGTAAGAGAAGTTAAGAACATAGTACGGGCAAGTAAATCGGAAAACACCAATAAACAGTACGATTTTTATTTCAAGAAATTTACAGATTGGTGTTACTGCTATAAATTTTCTGCTCTTCCTGCAGATGTTTGTACAGTTGTTTTGTATATTTCTTTTTTAGTACAGAAAAATGTTTCAGTGTCCGTTTTGAATTCAATTTTTTTCAGTATTTCTTGGAAACATAATTTTCATTTAATGAAGAATCCCTGCGAGGAGAAATTTGCTGTATTTACTGTTGAGGGTGCAAGGAGAATTTTATCAAAACCAGTTAAAAAGAAGGAACCTATTACGGCTGAAATTATGCAAAAAATGTATGATTACTTTGGTACATCTTCTGATTTGTTTAAGTTAAGAAATTACTGTATGTTTAGTTTGGCATTTGCAGGTTTCTTGAGATTTAATGAATTGGTAAATATAAGATTTTCTGATCTCAAATTTTGTGTTTAACATGTAGAAATTTTTATTCCAAAAAGCAAGACGGACATTTTCAGGAAAGGAAACAAGCTGTATATAGCAAGAACTAATGACGATACATGTCCCGTTGTTTGTCTTGAAAGGTACATTCAGGTAGCTAAGATTAGAAAAAATGAAGAATTTCTGTTTAGAGCATTACAATCTAAGCTTGGTTCAAATTGCCTGAGTACGTGTAATAAACCAATTTCTTATTCCAGAGTAAGAGAATTGTTTAGGTCTGTTTTAGATACAATTGGCTTAGAAAAAGAAAAGTTTGGGCTGCATTCGTTGAGAAGTGGAGGAGCAACTTCTGCAGCTAATAACTTGGTGTCAGATAGATTATTTAAACTTCATGGAAGATGGAAATCTGAAAATGCAAAAGACGGTTATGTACAAGATGATGTTAAGTCCAGATTGTCTGTTTCTCTCAATTTAGGAATCTAATATTAAACGCTTTGTGTTTCGAGCTGAGTATACAACTCATAACTAATAAATGTTTTTGTTTATTCTGAATTTAGTCTCTTTTCAATTATGGTTAGGAAAAGAAATGTTTTATTTGCGGATGAACAGAGTGAAGGAGAAAATAATTTAATTTCTTTTCGTTAGCATAAGCGAACTATTTAATGTGTAGAGTGTTCGATATGTTTTCTTGTAAGCGTATGAATTAGATATGCGCTTTATTATGTGAGTAAAATGTCTTGGGTATTAAAACAGCTGTTTGCGTATTCTATTCATTCGAGTTCATACTCAGCTAAGAGGTACAATGTCTGAAGAGAATCAACACGAACTAATCGTATTTTTCTTAACGGTTATTTTGATATTATACTTTTTTATCGTTGTAGAATGTTAAGTTTTCACGAAGATGATAAGCGCTGTCCTTGATTTACGACTCATATTTTCAGAGGATGATAATAATTTCAGAATTGTACATTATAAGTAAAATTGATGAATATATTGAGAAATGTACATTAAACCTTAAATATAAAATAAGATTTCAACATTGGAGTCTGCTGAGGAAGTCTGTTTACAAAACTTTAAATTGTACATTATATAAAGGGGGAAAAAACAGTGAAATATTTTGTATTAAGCTGAGTATACAGCTCATAACTAATAAATGTTTTGTTTATTCTGAATTTAGTCTCTTTTCAATTATGGTTCAGAAAAGAAATGTTTTATTTGCGGATGAACAGAGTGAAGGAGAAAATAAATGTACTTTGTTGTGGAAAAAAATGCTCGGGTTTGTTCTTCATGATATATACATGTAAGCGATAAATTTAATTTTTCGAAGGTGATTTCACCCGATATAAACATAGGATTATTTTTTGTGTGACCTAACAAAAATCATTTTTTAACTTTTGATTTTTGATATCTTTTAAAAGAAAAAGACTTTGGGGATATAATTTGACGAAAGTTTAAACAATTTATGGACAATTATTTTTCAAGAAGAAAAACGAATATATATACTCACCGTCAATAGAAACGCAACACCCTTATTTAAGGGGTGAAAATTATGTACGGGATATAACTATGTACCAAAAAAGTTAGGACATCTTTTACTTTGCCAAATCAGTTGTTTAACGGTTGAATGATTTTCATTCCATTACCGGAAGTTGATTTTTAGCCCCCTGAGCAGAAATCAAAAATTTGCATTTTTAATAAAATTATTGACAATATTTTGGGTTTTCAAGGTTTTGTACCTGTTAATCATAAGTCTTGTACTAAAAGTCCGGAAAAAATATCCTTCTTTCTTTTCCGGATGTGATGCCTGCATTTCCTCAAAGTAACTGAAAGCAAGCATTTTCATTGCTAATGTTGGAAATTCTCAAAATAAAGAAAAGCGAGAGCTATAGAAGCAAATATACTCTACATAACGACTTTTCGGACTCATGTGTTTCAAAAGCATGAATGACAATTCATTGACCAGAAGTCTAAGGGTTACTACACTGTGCCAAGTTAGAGAAAATTCGACCTCAGTATCTGAAAAACGGGCATTTAAAGATGCACAAGAAGATTTATTTCGCTCAGGTTAAGACATTGATAAACCTACTGCATGGTAGAATTCGGGCTGTGTTTGTTGTACATGGCGGACTAGGACGTTTTAATTGAATGGTCGGAAGGGGGGATGTTTTAAAAGTTATGTGTTACTTTCTAAGGTCTTAAGATAACATTTAAAGTTTAAATGAAGTATCATTGTTTAATAAATTTACTTTTTACTTTTATGTATGCATTCTTAATCTTATCTTTAAACCTTATAAAGTTACACATAACTCTAAAACATCCCCCCTTCTGACCATTCAATTAAAACGTCTTAGTCCGCCAGGTACAACAAACACAGCCCGAATTCTACCATGCAGTAGGTTTATCAATGTCTTAACTTGAGCGAAATAAATATTCTTGTGCATCTTTAAATGTCTGTTTTTCAGATACTGAGGTCGAATTTTCTCTAACTTGGCGTTGTGTAGTAACCCTTGGACTTCCGGTCAAGGAACTGTCATTCATGCTTTTGAAACACATGGGCCCGAAAAGTCGTTATGTAGTGTATATTTGTATCTGTAGCTCTCGCTTTTCGTTATTTTGAGAATTTCCAACATAAGCAATGAAAATGCTTGCTTTCAGTTACTTTGAGGAAATGCAGGCATCACATCCGGAAAAGAAAGAAGGATATTTTTTCCGGACTTTTAGTACAAGACTTATGATTAACAGGTACAAAACCTTGAAAACCCAAAATATTGTCAATAATCTTATTAAAAATGCAAATTTTTGATTTCTGTTCAGGGGGCTAAAAATCAACTTCCGGTAATGGAATGAAAATCATTCAACCGTTAAATAACTGATTTGGCAAAGTAAAAGATGTCCTAACTTTTTTGGTACATAGTTATATCCCGTACATAATTTTCACCCCTTAAATTAGGGTGTTGCGTTTCTATTGACGGTGAGTATATTTTTAGCGATTAGAATCAAACCAAGCGACTTTAAAAAAAACTTGCATAGGGTGTCTCCTTTCATTAATGAAACGGCCACTCCCTTTGTTCATATCATTTCAGATCATGTTTAAAAATATTTTTAAATAGATCAAAAGAATTTTGTCACATTCAATTCACATTATCTCGGAAAGTTTTTAAATCTATGGCCACATGAAAATATATTCTGTAACGTGTAAAACAAATAAGCCCTATCCTTACTATTGGCTACAAGATAAAGCAGACTTCCCGGGGCACCCGGTTTGGTGGTAGCTGTTTGACCAGAAACACAGTTCTCTCCCTTCTCCGATGCTGTGACATTTTCCCCATCAAATTCAATCACCTAAAATGTTAAAATATCTTGTTTAAAATTGTTGATGATTGAAAAGAATTGCAAAGCGTTTGAAAAATATCAAATTCCAGAGTAAAATAAAACCACATACAAAACATGTGAATCTGTAAGCTCTTGGGGTTACAGTAAGAGTGGTATCAAAGTTGATGACACTCTGGTAATATGTGGTTCCATTGTTGAGGGTAGCGATACAACCCACATGTCCACCTGCTGTAAAGTAATTACCGTATAAGCAGAAATTTTAGCGAGGATTTAATTTTGGCTTTATTAGCGAGGGTAGTGGGATCGCTTAAATTGAATATCGCTAAAAATTGATTGCGTTTTATTTTTTATAGCTTCTTTAGTGAAAATTCGTAAATCGCTAAAATTTCATCTCGCTAAAATTAAAATACCACTTTTTAAGGATAAATCGCTAAATTTGCGTCTCGCTAAGATTTCCACTTATACGGTATATAAAACACTTTAGTTTCTTAACTGTTCATTAAATTTTTCAAATCTTTTATCAGAAGGATGACTGCAATCAGTGTGAAACAACATGGGACCCTGGTGTTTATCTTTGGCTGAGTATGCAGAAGGAATCACCTGGTGCCATTTAATGCATGAATCTTTGAACAGGAGTTTTTACATAGGTTTATAAGCTTTGATCAATCAACCAAATTGATTCATTTAAGCGAATTGCAGCCAAAATAAAAACGTGAGTTAAATCTAGTACATGTATTATACAATATACATATTGTGGACTCCAGTCAAATATATAAAAGGCTGTGTATTGTTTCCGGGAGAAGATAGAAGGTAATATAATCAAATCCCG